GGAAAACATAGAAATGCCATAGACTTTACAGACTCAGAAAGAGAGAATTTAGTGGACATATACACAAACATATACTTGTATAAACATTTGAAAAATAAAGTAGGTTTCAACATTGAAGTGCATAGTTTAGAATAACACCATACTTTATGCCCAAGGTATGCCACTTAGCAATTGCAAGACCTTGCACAAACAGCACCCCCAAAATACTTGTCTACATGGGGAAAATGCCTTCTGGGTTATGTATGTCACATATACTCAAGACATATAGCAAAGGAAAATTTCTCCAGTTCAAAAAGAAGAAAAAACTAAGGAGATAAGTTTCCTGAACTTTTGGCACGCTGGCATATAAAGGGAGTAAAGATCCTAGAACAATTCAGCTGGCCATAAAATTAGCTGTGAAACAACAAGGACCAACAAAGTAGTGCAACTACTCTTGTACACCTTTACATAAGGCAGACGTAAATGTAGTCTTGGCTTGACTGACATGGTACAATACCCTGTATCCAACTTCAGTGTATTTAGATTTGTGGTTTAATCCAGGCAGTTTTTCTACTAGCTGGCACAAGGAAGACTATTTATACAGATGAGTTTTACCTTATTGACTGAAAAGGTTCCAAGATGCCTGTAACAGTTTCTGAATACGCTACAATTTCCAGCTGTGTGTGTGTGTGTGTGTGTGTGTGTGTGTGTGTGTGTGTGTTTGTGTGTGTGTGCTTATGTGTTTGTATGTGTAATGTTGGGGATCAAACATGGGGTCTAACTTTACTAGGCTACTGACCAGTACTCTAATCCTATAGCTGTTACAGCAGGGCTCATTTTAAGGTATAAATATATATTTTTGTTTGTTTCTGAGATTGTAATTTAATTACAACATTTCTCCTTTCCTTTCCTCCCTCCAAACCCTCCCATATACTTATACTTGCTGTACTTCAATTTCATGGCCTCATTTTTCATTAATTGCAATTGCATACATATATGTATTTGTATTACTCTAGATTCATTACCTATTACCTTTTACTTCCAAGAGCAGTGTGTCTAAATATAGTGTACTCAATGGAATTATATACCATCACTAATTTCAATTTTAAGTGATTCCATTATTAAATCAACATCAGCAATTCAATTTTTTATCATGTTGAGGATTCCATTGTTTAAAAATATCTTTTCTGCAAGGCAATTTTTAAAGTGAATGAATTCAGTGGTTTTAAAAAATAATTTTATGCAACATTTCATATCATCTTTTATGATTAAAACACTGTATTTCTTAAAGATTTATTGATGTTTTATTTTATGTGTGTTTTGCCTACATGTATACATGTGTACTTTGCAATTGTCTGGTATCGATAAAAATCAAAAGAAGTCACTGAATAACTTGGGAATGGAGTTATGGACTGTTGACCACCATGTTGGTGCTTGAAACCAAATCTGGGTCCTCTACATGAACAGAAATGCCCTTAACCACTTAACCACGGAGCCATCTCTGCAGCTCAAGACTTTATTTTAAGAAAATACTTAATATAAATATAAGCATACATCACTCAGTCTGACTTCACACACGTATTATGTTTCATGGAAAATATACAACACACACACACACACACATACCACAATGGGCCAGGATACCAGAGACCTGGATCTTCATTATGTCTCCACTAAGAATTCATTATAGTACCTTTCTAACGGATAAATTAATGATCATGGAGTCAAACGAACAGACACATGGGTACTGACGGTGACATTGGAGTCCTAGATGTATGGTCCATAGGCAAGTCAACTACTTTCAGCCTCCAGTGTTTCAATTTTAAAATGGAAAATAATATTAGAAGCTATTTTCAAGGAAAGTTAAATGGTTTAAAAAACGATAAGCTACTTAAGATTAGGATAATGTAGAGAAAATGCACAATGTTTGGTACTAGTGTTGGCAGAGTACTTTACATCTCTGGGCCTCAGACTCCTGACATGTAAGATGAGAGAACAGGCTTATCACTAGGAAGTCCCTCCTAGTTCAAATTTTACAACTCAAAGGAAAAAGAAAACAATCTGTTTTTTTCTACATATAAGAACCATACGATGAACCTTAAAGCCCAAATGACACATTCATCTTTGATCTTTTAAGCTATGTAAAATAAAGAGCATTTTCAACCCTAAGCCCTATATTTTATTCAAAGTTGCCTAACTGAATCATTCTGTCCACTGGCATGCAAATAAATTTCTAATGGAATCATATTAATTACTATAGTTGTTATCTATAAACTAAAATTGTTTTGAAAGAACTTGCATAATATATGTAATAGGAGAAAAGATCAAAGAGAAAGGAAATTCCCTAATAATAAACAGCATTCATAGTTCACTTATAAAAACATATCATAATGATTTTTAAAAGTTTAAATTATAATAACAATTGTAATGTCCTTCTGAATTGTTTCTAAGCTATATTCTCAAACCACAAATACTCAAAACATTAGAATGGTGCCTCAAAAGAAGCAAGAATTGAAAAATGAAAACCGTTAAAAACAAAAACAAACAAAAAACCTCTCTACTTAAACTATGACTACACTGTCATTCAAGCAAAAGTACTGCTCTGTGGAACAATGAAGGTTTAATCTCAAGAGATATAACATGCATATACAACTGTGATGACCATCATGGTGTTCAACTATCAAATAGAAACTATCAAGGGTAGTCAATTTAATAAAGCAATTAAAAGTACAAGCAATAAACAGTGATTAATAATAGATTTCAAGAAAGGATGCATGATACAATGTGATCAGGAAGAAGCACAGAGAGATGGAATATCTTTAACTAGTGTCTTTTCAATGAAAAGAATTGCAAACTAAACTACTTCTGAGGCAATGTTCCTTTGGTCGTGTTTCCAAGGACATGGCATATTTGAAAAGCACTCATGCAGCAGGTATCTCTATTATTCTTTTGCTGTGACTCACAGTCAGGCTTGTTTAGTCACCAGAGGAGTCCTTGCCTGACTAATGATGACTAAAATGCTACATGTGTACAGTTCTGTACAAAGCAATATTACTTAACTCCCCAGGGGATTGTTTTCTAAGGAAAAAAAGACGTTAAATGTCTATAGCTGTTTTCGTTAGTCAGCTAGGTGTGTGGGAAGATGGTAAAGAACTAGCTGGTCTGTTCCCAACACCTAAAGATATAAAGTGCAGTTAAAGAGTACATAATAACACAGAGAGAGAGAGAGAGAGAGAGAGAGAGAGAGAGAGAGAGAGAGAGAGAGAGAGAGAGAGAGAGACTGCACAGTGACACAGTAGACAGCAGGGTAAAAGAAAGTGATAAATAAAAGAACAGATATGAAAATTTTTAGGAAAGGTGATCTATATATTCACACTTGAAAGGTGTTTATAGAAGGTGTTTTGACTAGAGCTTCAAAGATGGACAATATTTAAATTATGTAGAATAAAAGGTAATCTAGGTAAAGGGGGTGACAATGGTGTGAGAAGCAAAATTAAAGAAGCAATTGTTCAAGCAAAATTGTTCAAGAAACATTAAGAGATATATAGTGAAGAATAAAGTAAAATAAGTGCTGCTGTTCCAAAGGGCTAGATTTTTGCCATATATGTGGAGTCTGAATTGGAATAACAGATAAGAAGAAGCAGAGAATATTCTTGATAGAGGAAATAATATTGAAGTAGTATTCACAGACAAGCGGTCTTGTTGGGAGAATCAAGTATTTGGAGCAAAGGTGCACACTGGTTAGGAAGCTCCTTCAGTTATTAGAGGAGTAGAGAGAAGAGATGAAACCAAGGAGTAAGCGAGGAATGGTCGTGAGATGACAGTTGAAGGAAAATTTGCCAGCAAACTCTTCATTTTAAAAACTGGAGAAAAATCCAGATTTCCCTGTAAAATGGGAACAAAAAATGAGATCATGGTGGGGGACTAATAACCCTACTTTACAATCTTTCACCAAAGACAGATGGGCAGATTGTTTCTCGAAACAGCTGACTGACATAGCCCTTCCCAATGAAGGAAGGAGAGATAAAGTCTCTTAAAATAACATTTGACTTAGATATTTCTAGCAGAAACATACAGGAAAAAGAGAGAAGGAAAGGATCTGAGATGAAGGCTGAAGATTTATGAGATGGAGCTAAGATGAAGAAAAGACAGGTGGGTAAAATGTATTTCTTTGAATCTCCCGATGCGCAAAATTACTGAATGTCAAATCAAATCAAAACTCTTTTAAGGTTGAGAGTTGAAACTCTTTGAAAAATTGGTGTGCCCCCCAACACAAACAGTTTCTTATCTGAGAACTTTAGTCTACAAAATCTTCAGGTTCCTTCCTTTACATAGAACCTGTTTCTGGAAATTAAGTATTTTGCTCTCTCAAATTTATCAGGTTCATTTTGGTGCTGAGTACACTCAGTAGGCCAGATGCAAAGACCAATGGCAGATCCTCGCACTTCAAAGTGCACCTGAAACATCTCAAGGCCAAATCCCTAACCTTTCCCTCGTTCAGTTCTGACAGAGCTCAGCCCCACCCCCTCCAGCTAAAGGGAAAAAGGCGCCTGCGCAATCTCCTTGCCCATTCTCCCTGCAGTGAACCGCCCCCTCCCTCTAGTCAGAGTGCTTATGCGCAGGCGCAGGGTCCTCGGTGCGTTTGAGTGGGGCTATGAGAAATCTACTGTCCAGTGAAATCCAGAAGTGGTAGAATTCAATCTTGTCCTTTCTTCAGAAGCAGAGGCACCAGTTTCTCTCACTATCGGGCCAATAGTATGTCCCAGCCATCGCCCTCTTTCAGAGCAAGGTCCTGCACTGTGTGGCAATACCCACAGTATCCTCATCCTCAGCTCCTTTCTAATTCCACGCTCTTGCTGGGCTTTGCTGGGAGGGTAGAGGCAGTTGGCTTCCAAGAAGCTGCACCAATTTATTGGCTGTTTCTTTAGGCCACAGACCCAAGGGCCCCCTACTGGGTACATTATCCCAGTGTCTTGAAAGTCCTCTTTTGCCCTTCACAGTCACCCAGGTTAGGCGCTTACCTCGGGCGTGGTGCGGTCACGGAAGAGTTCAAAGGATCCAAGATGAAACCAGGGCCAGAGCAGACGGATTCCGCGAGATTTTTCCTGGGTCTCCACTGCCGCCTCAGACAATGAAATCAGCGTGTCCGATCATCAATTCTCATCATGATCGTGACGTCACAAAAGACAGCGGCCAATGGGAGCCCGAGATCAGCTCCGGACAGTCCCTGGCCTCAGACCAGAACCCAAGAGTGGGGAAGGGGGGGAGGGCTTCCTGTAGTGGGGCTGCCTCTTCTCAGCACTTATCTGCTTGATCTATGAAGAGGCCTCTCAGTACTTCTCTCCATGGATAGCTGTGAACATCCAGCATTCCTGTGCCAATAGTAGTTTCATGACAATCATTTGAGTCAAGTGATGACTGGTCTTGAAACTTGAGATTTGCTTTGAGCAAAATTGTTCCCCATTACCAAAACTAAATGATAGCATAAGGGTTTAACTGATAGGTATATAAACAATGTAATCAAAATCAATAAGGTCTCCAAGGACCCTTTGGAATTTTTCCAGTAAGATTAAGTGTACTCATTTGTGACTGATTGACAGTAAAGACTAAGGAAAGAAATGGAATCCCTTCACTTCATTTTTAAGCCATTTTGACAGAAAAACTTATTTGAGTGATCACTGTTACAGGGATAAGCAAAAAAATCAAGACTCGTAGTATATATCAGCAACACTTACTTGAAGCATTACCCAAATTTTCTGCGTGTCATGAGAGATAGAATTTATTGGTTATTTGCTGTTACGTAATTTGCAACATCATTTGGAAGAATTAGGATGTAATAAATATTGACAATAATAAAATAAAATACATGATCATATGTTCTGTCATTAAACTAAAGACAGGATCTACATTGTTTTATGAATGAAGGCATCAGAAGGTTGGGAAAGAATTGTATGTTAATATTGTAATTTGACTGTTGGTTAGGAGAAGATATAAGCAACTGTCTTAAAGAGGAAAAATGAATAGGCAAGAGTAGAAAAGTATTATGTGAAACCACCTTGACTAACTCAGAGTTTAAGCTGAGAATAGTGTGAGGTTGGATAGGCTGATAATAAAAAACCTTTGAAAATAAACAGAAAGCTTTGATTCAGTTAAAAGCCACCAAAAGCTATGGTTCAAGGGACCTTAATATCTTTAATCAAGGATTTGCAAAATGCTTTGACTTTTTTTTTCAAACAACCAACTCTAGATTTCCCAATGTCTTCCATTCTCATATACTATAAAATGAAATTATTATCAACCATAAAGGAATGTGTTTGTAGCATTTTACCATATTGGAGCAGACTTGCATATTTACCTGGATTTCCCTCAGGTAGCACATTGAATATTATTGCTATTGAAAAAGGAAATATATCAGTTGGTAAGGTTTATTAATATTTGTTTGAATTCTAAAGTGATTTTCTTTTTTTACTATTTTTTTGTTTTTTTCCTCAATTTTTGTTTTATTTTTTTTCCATTTTTTTATTGAGAAAAGGAGAAAAAAAACAAGTTTCCACCTCCTCCCAGCCTCCCATTTCCCTCCCCCTCCTCCCACCCTTCTCCCCCTCCTCCAACCCTTCTCCCCCTCCCCCCACTACTCTCCCCCTCCCTCTCCAGTCCAAAGAGCAGTCAGGGTTCCCTGCCCTGTGGTAAGTCCTAGGTCCTCCCCTCTCCGTCCATTTCTAGGAAGGTGAACATCCATACTGGCTAGGCTCCCACAAAGCCAGCACATTACGTAGGTTCAAAACCCCGTGCCATTGTCCTTGGCTTCTCATCAGCCCTCATTTTTCGCCATGCTCAGAGAGTCCAGTCTTATCCCATGCTTTTTCAGTCACAGTCCAGCTGGCCTTGGTGAGCTCCCAATAGATCAGCTCCACTGTCTCAGTGGGTGGGTGCACCCCTCGTGGTCCCGACTTCTTTGCTCATGTTCTCCCTCCTTCTGCTCCTCATTGGGACCTTGGGAGCTCAGTCTAGTGCTCCAGTGTGGGTCTCTGTCTCTATCTCCATCCATCACCAGATGAAGGTTCTCACTCAGGATAGTTTTTTCTATTTCCATCCATTTGCATGCAAAATTCTAGAAGTCATTGTTTTTTACCGCAGCATAGTACTCTAATGTGTAGATATTCCACACTTTCTTCATCCATTCTTCCATTGAACGACATCTAGGTTGTTTCCAGGTTCTGGCTATTACAAATAATACTGCTATGAACATAGTTGAACAAATGCTCTTGTCATATGATCGGGTTTCAACAAGATGGAGAACTGTGGACAGTTTCGATAATCTGACAAATATACTTTCTCCAGATACATGTACCATGGGAAGTGAATAGTGTCCGTTACAGAAAGGAAGACGCTAAAGATTTTCTATAAACTTTCTAGAGTGAGTAGATTCTAATGAAATAATTCTCATGTTAAATGACTTGAGATTTTATACATAGTGAATTATTTAGTCATAAGACTGTTGTTGGCACATAGAAATTGTCTGGGAAGTAACTGGTTACTTATTAAGTACTCTGAAGTGCAGGGCATCTCAGAAGACTTAAATAATCCTCTTTAATCCACACCAACATATAAGACAAATATTTGTAATTTGTCCTGGCAGACCATCTATCCATAAAGGAACTAATTCTCAAGTATTTGAGGGGACCAGTAGTTCTCATTTCAAAATAAAAGAATTTTAGTTGATATACTTTTGACCAAAGATAAAAATATATCTGAAGAAGAACCCAAACTGATACTTTGTCATTCAAATGGATAGCAAAGAAAATAACAAGATGCTACAGTGATGGCTCAGTGATTAAAAGTGCTGGCCTTTTTTTCCTTAAGATAAAATTTTGAGTCCCATCACCCACACAATGACTCACAAATGCCTGTTATTCTGGTTCCAGGGGATATAAGGCCCTTCTCTGTGGGCACCAGACACACACATGGTATACAGATACACGTGCAGGCAAAACACCCACACATATAAAATAAATTAAATATGAGAACCAGAAGATTGAAAAGCAAATTGTGCTAAACTGTATGTAGAATTCAGACAAGGTTGGAGACAGAAAAGAAACATATAAATAAGTTTTTATCCAGTTCTGAGAGGATCAAACACAGGGCCCTCCACATGTTAGACAAGTGCCCTATCAGCTATCTACACAACTAGTTTTTCTTTTGAGATAGGTTCTCTCTATGTATCCCAGACTGCCCTTGAACTCTCAGTTCTTCTGCCTCCACCTCCCAAATGATATGATTAGAAGCATCTTAACCAGTTAAAATAAACGTCCTGAGTCATTCACACTTTTGAATGGGCCAAAAATATGTGCTGAAGTACAAAACATCACATCCATCACATCTTTTGTACTCCTTTTTCATCAATATTTGCAAGTGGGGGAAAGTACAAGAAAGTACCAAGTAAATTAATTATGGATTAATAATATACCAAGTTGTATCTTTCAATCAGACAGAGTTGATGATCATTTAAAAATGACATTTAACAATCATGTTATTTCCAGCTAACGGGTAGTAATATTCAGGATTGTGAATCAAGAAATGTTCAAGTTGACAGGCTCCAAAGCCACAGAGAAACCCTGTCTCGAAAAAAAAAAAAAAAAAAAAAAAGAAATGTTCAGGTTGGGTTACAAGACATAAGATATTAGTTAAAGAGATAAAGGATTGGGTAGTAGACAAATTCATGAGAGGACAGACAGCATTAGCATCTAGATTTGTAGGAAAAAGTTAGACAGACACAAAGATTAATCTAAAATGACTGGAATCAGAGACCCAAGAAAATAAATACCGATAAGGTCAGTTTGATATATCAAACATGGAAATGATTACGAGTCAAGACAAATAAGAAATAGAGAAATAATAGGAAATTTAATAACAGGCTATGGGAAAGGAAAAGGAACTTATTAATTCCAATATGGATCTAACAACTAAGGGAAGTTAATCAGATATAGGCTTCAATTTTACTAATCCCAATGTGGTCAGACTGAGCGAAGGTGGGAGGACATAGCCAGAAACACCTGCCTACAAGGAAAGTCGTGTGGGCAAAAAGAAGAAGCTTGTAGCACTCAGATTTCAACAAGAAAATAAGGAGTGTTTTAGATGTCTCCTAAGAATTAATAACAAGAATCTTTCTTTCAAACTCGAGCATCATTTTTTTTCCATTAGAGTAAATTTTCTAAATGACATGTAGCAAAATTATCTGGCAATCAAATTTTCGAGAATACATTTTAGAACTTTGTATGACATTATTATGCTATCAGTTGTATTACACAGACCATGTGAAAATGTTATATTACCATTTTATAAACTAGCCCTATGTAATTTTTTAATTATTTTTCTTCAATAAAAACTCCTATTCACCTTTAGACTATTGATGTGTATTGTGCTGTCTAAATAAATAACCTTTTTTGATCACTTTACTATGGTTCCATTTTATCAACCCAGTATTTTTGGTAGCACAATGAGTAGGAAGGGAATAACAATGAGTTAGTTTAAGCTGTTAGTCAAGATAATCAAACATTTTTCAAGTGATATGATACAAGGGAGCACTCTGTAAGTTTAAGACTTCCAAATCTCAGTGGTAATAGCATAGATTTCAATTTAGGATGCAGAAACTATTGTAATAAGAGGAATTTTAGCCTACTTTTGCTACTGATGGAAACTCTCCATCATTTTTGCCCATTGTAATCAAGGCTTCATACTAAGATCTGCACAACCTTGGAGAAAAGGCAACATCTTCAATTAATGGTGCTCAAAAAAACTGGGTTTCTACTCATAGAAGAGGGAAACCAGATTTTTTTTCACTTGATATAAACAAAAGTTAATTCTATATGAATCAAAGACCTCAGTGTAAAACCCAAAGCACTGAGACTACTAGAGGAAAATGTACGCAGTATACTACAAGATAGAGATATAGGACAATAGTTTCTAAATAGTGTTATAGCTGTGCAGTAAGTAAGGGAAACAACTGACAACTGGGACCTCATGAAATGAAAAAGCATCTGTTCATCAAAGGAAATTGTCAGCGAAGTGAACAGCAGCCTACAAAATAAGAAAGGATCATTGATACTGTCCATCTG